TCTATCTATCTATCTATCTATCTACCTATCTATCTACCTACCCAACTACCTACCTATCTACCTATCATCTATCTATCTATCTATCTATCTATCTATCTATCTATCTATCTATCTATCTATCTCATCTATCATCTATCATCTGTCTCTCTATATCTCTATCTATATCTAATTTACCATATGTCTGTCTGTCTATCTATCTATCTATTTATCTCTATCTAATTTACAATATGTCTGCCTATATATCATCTACCATCTGTCTATTATCTACCTATCTCTATATAATTTAGAGATATCTAATCTTTATTTAATTTATCATATGTCTGTCTACCTATTTATCTAATCAATCATTTATCTATTGTCTGTCTGTCTATCTATCTATCTATTTTACCATATGTCTGTCTGTCTATCTATCTGTCTGCCTAATCTACCATCTATCTGTCTATTATCTATCTACATCTAATTTATCACATGTCTGTCTATCTGTCTATCTGTCTATCTAGTCTATTATCTATCTGTCTATTATCTGTCTGTCTATCTTTATCTAATTTATCATATGTCTAAGGATGGTAAAACTTCAACACCTCTGGGAGTACCCTGGGCAACATCCTTGCAGACGGCCAATTCTCTCACACCAGAAGCAACTTGCAGCTTCTCAAGTCACTTCTGACACACACAAAAAATGTATATGTCTGTCTATCTATCTATCTATCTATCTATCTATCTATCTATCATCTATCTAAACTATCTGTCTGTCTTATAGTAGAAGAGACAATGCAGCCACGAAGCACAACACGGCTTGAGCATCCTGGCGCATTCCTGTTTGCCTTGGCAGTGCCACATGACCCTGAAGAAATGATGCAGCCGCTGGCAAAGTGCATCCATTAGACCCTGATGCCATTTTTAGCACAGATTTCCCACCCAGGAAGGGAAATAAAGACGTACCGTATGTTTTCTCCTCCATTTTCCAGACTGCTGCTATGCAGAAATGTACTACATAGAACCATAGCGTCTTACACTGGGTCTATAATGCGGAATTAATGCACTTGTGACTGCTGTGGCTCCATACTATAGGAGTTGGCAGACCTTGGGAAACTACAACTCACAGGATTCTATAACCTTGAGCCAGGGGAGTTAAAGTGGTGCAAAGCTACTGTGTAGATGCAGCCCAAGAAAGAGAAGAAAGGAGTGCAGAGGGGCAGATCTCTTCTTTGTGCCAAACCCTTCTCCTTTGCTCTTGCCTCTCCTTTCCCTGGGCCTTCCACTCCTTTTCCCTGCCCAGCTAACGAAGCATCGAAATTTAATAGCCTCATCATTACAAAGCAATTAATAAACCCGCCAAAACCTTGGAGGCCAGCCAAGTCACCCGGGACAAAGAGGGGATTTGTGAGCAGGAAGTCTGCCCCGGATCAAGGGTCTGGAGAACAAGCCCTATGAGGAGCGGCTTAAAGAGCTGGGCATGTTTAGCCTGCAGAAGAGAAGGCTGAGAGGAGACATGATAAGGGACATGTATAAGTACGTGAGGGGAAGTCATAGAGAGGAGGGAGCAAGCTTCTTTTCTGCTTCCCTGGAGACGAGGACGCAATGGAACAATGGCTTCAAACTACAAGAAAGGAGATTCCATCTCAACATTAGGAAGAATTTCCTGACTGTGAGAGCTGTTCAGCAGTGGAACTCTCTGCCCCGGAGTGTGGTGGAGGCTCCTCCTTTAGAGGCTTTGAAATAGAGGCTGGATGGCCATCTGTCAGGGGTGCTCTGAATGCAATTTTCCTGCTTCTTGACAGAATGGGGTTGGACTGGATGATGGCCCAAGAGGTCTCTTCCAACTCTAGGATTCTATGATTCTATAACAGCCCAAAGTCCAAAGCATCTCTCTAGATGCATCTGTCTAGAAAGTCTGGGGGCAGAGGACTTTTACAAGTCAAGCAAGCAGTTGAAGAAGAAAAACATGATGCCCTGGCAGAATATGTCAAGGAAAGCCAAGAACCTGCTTTAATTGAAGTCAATAATCGGAAACTTCTCAAAGCACAGCAGACAAAGAGTCAGTACAAGAAAACTGCACTCCAAACCAGAGCTGACAGCTGGCACAACAAAGCATTGCATGGGCAGTTCCTTGAGAAGACTGAAGGAAAAGTGGAGAAGGAGAAGACCTGGTGATGGCTCACAAATGGAACCGTGAAGTAAGAGGCAGAAGGCCTGGTTCTTGCAGCCCAGGAGCAAGCCATCAGGACAAAGGCCATTAAGGCCAGGATTGAAAAATCAGCGGATGACCCAAAATGCAGAATGTGCAAGGAAGCCGATGAAACCATGGACCATCTCCTCAGCTGTTGCAAGAAAATTGCACAGACGGACTACAAACAGAGGCACAACTCTGTGGCCCAATTGATTCACTGGAACTTATGTCACAAGGACCACTTGCCAGCAGCAAAGAATTTGCGGGATCATAAACCCGCAAAGGTTGTGGAAAATGAACATGCAAATACACTGTGGGACTTTCAAATCCAGACGGACAAAGTTTTGGAACACAATACACCAGACATCACTGTTGTGGAAAAGTAAAAAGTTTGGATTATTGATGTTGCCATTCCAGGTGACAGTCGAATTGAAGAAAAACAACAGGAAAAACAACATCAGGACCTCAAAATCGAACTGCAAAGGCTCTGATTGCATCAACCAGTCCAGGTGGTCCCAGAGGTCATAATGGGCGCACTGGGTGCCGTGCCAAAAGATCTCAGCTGGCATTTGGAAACAATAAACATTGACAAAACCACGATCTGTCAACTGCAAAACGCCACCTGACTTGGATCATTCGAAAATACATCACACAGTCCTAGATGCTTGGGAAGGGTTCGACTTGTGAT